GCTTTTCTCTATGCAGCAGTGGGAGAGTTGCTGGAAAAACTGGAAAGGTATTAATCAGAAGTGGCTATAAATCCTCTGGAGTTTTGCTCTTATAAAACTCCTCAGAGAAAGTCTTGAAGGAAATGCAGGTCAAAGCCCAAAAAAGCTCTTGATCAGAGATTGCCGGAGGAAAATCTTCCCAGACGCCGTTTAATAGGCAGCAATCACCCCAGGAGCGGGAAAGCCAAGTACGCTTGAAACATGGTTGCAATTCCTAATAGGTCTTGTCACACTTAAGGCGCTGCAAGCGCCATCCAACGAACAGCTGAAGCTAGCTGGTGATTCATAAAGCCAACAGTTTAAAGTTTATTATCATGAAAGCACTTAATGACAGCCATCGCTAGGGGCCCATCATTTATAAAGCTGTGCTGAGTATTAGACATGTAGCATGACCACCAATTTTATGTCACAATTGCTACCATAAAATGACCTTTGGTGATTTTTGCTGCATGTGGTGGACAGCTCTTCCTTCACATTAGTGCTCTGTGGCTTTCTTTGCAGACTATTATGCTGTCTAAAGCTTATTTGGCACTGTCGTGAGCCTCAACCCTGGTTATTACCCCGAAGGCCTGTCTTAAAAAAAAAAAATCTCGTGCTCTATTACGCCACTGCAATAATTTACAGTTCTTACCAGCCTTGGGTAGTGTAATATTTTAGTGCAAATATGCTTTACCATTGCAATGTATTTTTTAAAAAGTTTCCTTGCTTCTGGCTAGTGAATTCACTGCAATATGCCTCTTATTCCCTGTCAGGTCTCACTGAATGGGCAGCTTCCTCTGGTCCGTTAAAATGTTGCGAGGATGAGAAAGAGAAAAATGTTAATTAAACTTCCGGTGAGAGAAAAAAAAATTAAAGATCCAAGGTGCAATAAACCCACCTCCCACCAAAGCACCAACTCGTATTTCCCTGCATCCAGTCCCCATGCAAATTTACATCTGAGTAATATTATTTAATTAGGCTTCCATTTGTCAACCTGCTTTGTGTAGCTGAACATGTTTGAATACATGGCCACTTTAGGGCTCCAATGTAAAGTACTGCTGAGAAAGTGGCCTGTCCATGCTACACCACCTTTAAATTGTGTATATAATTTTATAAATGATATAAAATCTGCTTCTAGTCCCTGGGAAAAAAAATGCAAGCATGGCACGCTGCAATTTTGGAAGGATTTAAAATATGTGATTTCTGCTGGTACCTACTGTATTGGGTTTTACATAAAGCTTTTTTCAATAAGGTAAATTGTTACATGACAAACTCATCTTCCACCATTATCATCTGCTGTTTGTGTTTAACAACAGGAGTCCCGCTCTAACAAAACTGTTGTAATGGCTGTACAAATTACTCAGCTGAAAGCTTTTCACCAAACAAAACAGTATTAATCAGCAGTTCTTATGAAGGTGCTAATTAAAAACAATTTTCTTCCTCAGTTTGCAATGCTAAAGCCATCTTCACTTGCACAGTTTCCAATATTCAGCTACTGTACTTGCTCACACTTCAGCCCCTCCATTAACTATTGAATCTCCTATTAGCCATTTTATTACATTTCTGTTTACATGCTTGTTGACATTTAAAAAGTCACAGTATGATCTGTTTTATCTATTAACAATATATTAATTGAAAAGTCAGGGAAACAAACAAACAAATAAAGAGGCAAAATATAGACTCCAAATGCAAAGACATCCAGGATGGAGAATATGTGAGCATTCACCACAGCCTGGGCAGTAGACTCGCTGGGTACAAAGAAATCTGAGAATTAACTGTGCTATTTCAGGCCTAATAGTTCAGCACCAATCGGCTCCTTCCTAACTGGGAAATGGTCCAATCAGGAAGACATATTTGTTCTGTCTAACATTAGTATGACTTGCAAATCAGAGTATGGGGTATAACTCAGAGGAATTAAGATGTTTCACATTAGGCTGAAGTCAGGAAACTTTGATGGGAGCGGGGAGTCGGTGCCTTGAATCTGGGAACCAAAGCCCTAATCTGGGGTTTAACAGGCTCTCTCTCTCTCTCTCTCTCTCTCTCTCTCTCTCTCTCTCTCTCTCCCCCCCCCGTATGTGTGTGTATGCACCTACATGTACAGTGACTCCCCCCCAGCAACATGGATAGCCTGCCCCTCTCTTCCAGAGTCCAGTGAAAGGGTCACATCAACCAACACTACCTAACTGTGTTGCATAAATTACAAACAATTGAAACACTGTCTAAGCACAAAGAGAACATCTATGGAAGCCTGACTGAGGAAAGGCAACAATCCATTCCCAGTAAAACAAAATAAAAAAAGCAAAACCAGCTAGCCCTTAGGAAGAAGGGAAGGCCCACTTCAGTAGTCGGATGAAGGAAACACAACCGCCACCTCCTGCCTCTGGCATTAAACCAGGTTCTTCAACTGTCAAAAGCAGTTAACTAGTTTAGGACAGACACCTGGCTGTTGAAATAGGGCTCCAGAGGTCCACTAATCCTTCCTTTCACTCAGTTAACTGCTGGATCCCCCAAATTGATTCAACAGGTATGCAGTGGTAAATTCAGCCCATATTGAAGCCAAAGGGAAAATCAGCAAGGGGCGGGCAGCTCTTCTCTGAAAACACCCGAGGAACCAGCCAGAAAAGCTTTTATGGCCCCGACAAGTTTTCTGCTGAATACTGAGCACCTAAATTACCCTTCCCTAATGGAAGTTACATTTTCATGCTCAGTCAAAAAGCCAACAAAATACACAATTTATACAAAATAGCATCAACCTCTTAGGTAGTCTTTTCTAGCACTTTTATCCAAATTCACAGCATATGTCTTGCTATAAAATAAAATATATTTCTTATAACCAACTTGTATGTAGCTGTTCATATCACTGCGTTAGAACTGCCCATGATATTAGAAAGTCTTACACCCAACCAAATCTACTTAGTAGGACAAAGGAAGATGATGAGTTTTATCAAAAGATAAAGGAATACAAAGGAGAGAAGCATCATAAAAGCGCTTATGATTTCCTGGGCTGACAGGCTTTCTTTTGAAATAAACACATGCATAATTACATGGACAATTATGGACTAGGCCACTTCAACTGCAATTAAATAACTCAATACTGATGTTTAGAAATGACCATACAAATTCAAAAGTGGATAAACTTTTTCAGAGTGACTATGTTGTCCCCTTCTCAATATTTACATTCTCATAAAATCTGAGAAGGTAAATAAAAAGTATTCAATAATATCGCTTCTCGGTCTTTTGGCTAGGATCAAGTGTAATAGTAAATGGCATTAGTTTTTAAACAACCTTCAGAGACCCTGGACTGGAGATATTTCCAGGTGAGGCTTCCAGGAAGGACAGATCCATGAAACTCTTAACATTTGATAGGCGATGCTTGAGGTTTTAATCACATATATAGGTATATCTATCTCTTCATCAGGTGTTCTTGGTAAGACTAGCTCAGTTTTGATCTGCTGTTCTTAGATATTATTTAAAAAAATACATCAGTGGTTTATATTTTCAAACACAATTTCTCCCAGAGAAATAAACACCTGGTTTCCATACTCACAACACACAAACGCAAACTTAATTCTTGCAAATTCAAATATTTTCATGAGAAATAAAAGGAAATATTCTCATGGTCCTGCTGTTCTACATTTAAACAGGAGGAAGGAATGGATCACCCTGGGTGTTGCAACAGGGATGGGCTTTCTGTGGCCGATTTGGTTGCAGGTTTAACAGAAGGAATAATTTTTGCTGTATTATCATCAGTGTACGTGGAACTACTCTCCCTGCCTTTTACAATATTCCAAATTCTAATTTTTAAACAAGAAAATATGAAACCAGTGAGCAACCTTTGCGGTTGCCAAAGGAAAGCTGCCACTAGCTGAACTACTCAGTTAAATGGCTGGTTTGCATCGCCCTGGTCTTTATCTAGCGCTGAGAATAGACTGCTGTTTTATCCAAAGAGGAATAAATTGCTGTTATTGTGATGTTAGCCCATCACTTGGCATTGCAATTCAAGTTTTTGTGAGCAAGAAATGTATGATCTAACTGCGACTTGACCTGTGCCTTCGGAGACCCATCTAGGTGCTCTAATGGAGCAGAAAAAGTGGTGAATACAAGGCCGTGCAAACTGATGGTGAAAGATTTGCTCAATGAGAGAAGGGAGCAGAGAAGGCCTCAGAGAGTCCCTATTTTTATGACAGCTAAGTTTGTTTAACATGCAAAAAAGATGAGCCCTCCCAGACTGCCCCCCCTTAATTGTCTCACACAGAACGTGTGCTCCACCTCTCCTAAAGACGCGGAGGCATATGGCTCCCCTACCCGGTGACATTCCTGCCAAAGTGGGCACAGACGATGCCTTACAGATAAACATCTCAATTTCCACAAAAGGCATTAGAGTATCTCTGTGACGCACTAGGCAGGCCAGGCTGGGTTCCCCGCAGAAAAGCAGTCCTCTCCTAATCTTAGGTAGCACCTATTAACTGTTTGCCACACACTCCAATCAAAGCACCTGGCAATATATACTTATTGTAAATAAGATAATTGTGTGATTGAGTTTTTTTTTTTTTTTAACTCCTCCTGGTTGCAACCTAGTTTGTCAACCATTTATTCAAAATTTCTCTCAGAAGGACTTATTTTGAAAGACTGGAGAACAGCAGCAGTTAGATTTAAGCCCTCATAAAGGCTCACTTTTCATTCATAGTCAGAGTCTAAATGTGCTCTTCTTGTACCTAAACAGATAATAAGCACTCAGCACACTCCCCCTCCTTGACACAGCGCACTGAGACTAATCACACATAATTGGAGAGGAGGAGCAGAGGGCTGGCCACGCTATTGTGTCCAGAGGACAAACGGTCAGTTTATGAGGCTGTGGTCTGATGTAGTCATTTCTTATACATCTATAGGGGAAAAAACATCCTGTTTAAATGGTGAAAAAAAGAATGAGCGAGAGAGACTGGGAAAGAGATAGCCCATTTAACACAATTCACTGGAGGGAGATCAGAAAGATGGACTTTATTTTTTTAATCAGGAAGGAATCATGTTATTTGCTGTGTTTACAGATTAAAAACAACCACCACCCAAACAGAACAAAGACCATTTTTAAAAAGTATGTGTGTGTGTGGGAGAGAGAGAGAGAGAGAGAGAGAGAGAGAGAGAGAGAGAGAGAGAGAGAGATAGAATCACAAAAAAGAAATTCTGGCTCAGAGGAAAAAATATTTAGGTTGGTCATAAATCAAATCTCAGACAGGCTGCGTATACATATTTAAAGACAACAAGGATTTGTTACAGAAATGTAACAAGCAGTATAAAAAGGAGGGTGGGGAGCTGGTGACAATGGCTGGGGCGTCATGGGGATGAGGACAGGTGGAGTCCGCACTGCGCTTGGAATGTCACAGAGTGGGGGAGGGCAGGTCCTGAGGGGCTGAGAAGCTCCGGGAGCGGTCGCTTGCTGCATATCATACCCATTATAGATGTTTCTGATTTTGTGAAAATATTCCCTGTGTGTTTGATGTGTTCTTTGGGGATGCTTAATCTTCTACCCATTTTTAGTTAAAATAAGCATAAATGGGTAATGAAGGTTTTCTTCATATATATCCGAGCTTTCCTTTTTCAACTGAAAATGATAAGAGAATAAAAAAAGGTTAGGAGACTCAGATCAGGTATATTTAGAGGTCAACATTAATATTGATTATAATGTGATGACTTAATAGTTTTGGAAAAATTAATCACAAAAAGCAACTCGAAGTAGTTCTCTGGCATTGGTACAACACTACACATGGAGAGGGGAACCTTCTGTCTTATTTTATTTATTTTTTTGCGGAACTGGGGATTGAACTGAGCCCCTTGCGCTTGCCAGGAAAGCACTTATTCTACTGAGCCATCTCCCCAGCCCCTGTCTTATTTTAGATGAGGATGGACTGCTTCTTCAAGAATACCCCCCCCCACACACACACACACAAAAAAAAGAATACCCAAACTGCATTTGTACCAGAAGGGAAGGCTTGGGGCTTCATCTTCCCCAGACAGGTCATGCCCCAACCCCTCGGGCCCCACTCTGTGGCACGCTCTTCAGCCAAGCAAGCGCTGGGCATCAACCTGGGCACAGGGAGAGGCAAGTGGAACCTGGAGCCTTTTTGAAGGCTCTCTTCAGAACTCGGTATGAATGGAGAATAACTAAGAAATGCTTTTCTCCAAAAAGAACATTCCAGTAATCAGAGTGGCAACATTCAATACTGCTCAGGTGAGATTCTGAAGACCTTCTTGAGATAAAATTTTAAATTCCAACTAGAGCTGGGATTAGCTCAGTGGCACAGTTCCTTCCTGGCAAGTACAAGGTCCTGAGTTTGATTCCTGGTACAAAATAATAAAATCCAACTGGAATCCTCCAATCACCTTTTCTTCTTCATCT